AAGACCAGGTCTGTTTCTGTTCTCAATCATATGCTTATGCATGCATGCTGCACAGACTTTCTTGCAGCTGTCTGAAATGAAACAAAATGCTGCCATCAAGTGGTGACACCAAAAAATGCCTCTTCTCTCTCAGCCAGGAACAGGTGGCTTCCCTCAGATCCTCAGCTCATCTCTGAGGGCTTGTACTCCATCGCTGTGGTGCTCAGTTTCTCACGTATCGCCTATGTTCTGCCAGCCAACGAGAGTTTCGGACCCTTACAAATATCTCTTGGGCGCACCGTGAAGGATATTTTTAAATTCATGGTCATCTTCATCATGGTCTTCCTTGCCTTCATGATCGGCATGTTTAATTTGTATTCCTACTACTTGGGAGCTAAATATAATCCTGCTTTCACCACGTAAGTCTAAAAAAGTTACAATGACAAGTATTATATTTAGAATTTACTTGTTAAAGGGATAGATCACCAAAAAAGAAATAATTGTAAAAATTCTATGATTTATTCCCCATTGTTTTGTTATAAATTAGAGGCTTTTACACAAAACACAAAAGTAGATGTTTTGCAGAATGTTTTGCAACAAAAGATAAAATTAGTCTATTTGACTTATACACCATTCAAAGGTTTGGGGTCAGTATGATTACTCTCTCTCTCTCTCTCTCTCTCTCTCTATCTATCTTTTTTTAATAAATTAGTTATTGTATTCAACAAGGGACACATTAAATTGTATGAAGGTGACAGTAAACATATTTATGTTACAAAAAAATCTATTTCAGATAAATGTTGTATATGAACTTTCTATTCATCTAAGAATCTTGAAAAAAGTATTGTGGTTTCCACAAAAATATTAAGTAGCAAAATGTTTCAACATTGATAATAATAGAAAACATTTCTTGAGCAGCAAATCAGCATATTAGAATGATTTCTGAAAGATCATGTGACACTGAAGACTGGAGTAATGATGGCAAAAATTCAGCTTTGCCATCACCGGAACAAATTTAATTTTAAAATATATTGAAATAGAACAAAGTTATTTTAAATTGTAATAATATTTTAAAATATTACTGTTTTTACTGTATTCGTCATCAAATAAATGCAGTCTTGCTGAGCATAATAGTGACCAAGCACAGTACAAAAAATCTTACAGACTCCAAATGTTTGAATGGTAGTGTATAATACATTTTTAATATAATATGGAATTTAAGCCAAAAATCTTCCTCTCAGCTCTCAAATTAATATCTTACATTTTGGTGTTTGAATTTGAGACAATATAAAAAATATATATATA